AGGCTTGTTGCATGATTCTTCTAAAAGTTCTTTAGTCTTAAAGATAATTAGAACTTAATATAAATTTAAATACATTCTTAGAGACTTAAATACAAATATATACCTTGTTCAATACTCTGTTTAAATAAGCAATCTCAATTTCATAATTATATTGTTCATCATTAATACTATTATCTTTATTTTTATTAGTTGATTCTTGAATTATTTGAATATTTGAAAATTCATGGTTTGAAAATTTACAGTATATGATTCATAATTTGAACTTTCTTGACAAAATACGTTTACCAATTCACCTTCATAAGTTGAAATTAATAGATATGTTCCATTTCTTTGTATCTAAATAAAAATACTATTAATGTCAGATTTTAATATTAAGACATATAAAATTTTTATTGTTACCTTTTTAAAAAACATTGGATCAGGTTTTTCTACAGAATTAACCAAATGTTTATACAAAAAAAACCTGTTTTGAATATATGTAAGATATGTACATATCCATTTGACTGGATCTGTAAAATACTTGTTATTATTATTAGTTTGTGTAATTTTATTTTTATACTCTTTTTATTATTATTTAAACTTTTTATATCATGATACCAATTCATGATTTTCTTCAAGTATGTGAATTTGATATAATTGTCAAATAATAACTTTCTTTATAAGAATATAGCACAAATGATCAAGTTATAATTTATAAAACTTATATAAGTAATCATACTTAATTTGATGCTAATGAGATTCAACAATCATTGTTGTTTTAATATGAATGATTTTTTTATTAGCTGATTGAGACCATAGATTCTATTTTTCTTTAGAATACCATTCTTTTCAAAAATAAATCCATAGTCAAAGCAAGTTGTTATCTTTACAAAATTGTATTATCTTGCTAACATATTCTCTTCAAATTTCATTAGCATTTGTATTAAAAATACCATTAAGTTTGAGTAACAACATATGATGTCTTGAATGATTCTCAACTAATTCAATTACAGATTTTCATAAACTTAAAGAACATAATGCCTATGAATTTGAATTATTTATTAATCTCCAATTTGGATCTATAATAGAATATTCTTGATGTACAATTTTAGGATTATAACTATAATATATATTTGGTTTACTAGAAGCTAATTGTTGTTTTATTACCTGTCATACATGTCAAATGCATAACTGTAAATGAGCTTTAGGCCAAACAGCCCATGCTTATTAATTTTATTATAATCTTTGTCAGTAAGTATAAAAGAAAAAGATTATAAACTACATTCTTTTAAAGCACATATCTATTAAAAAAGAATATTTGTTATGTTTCTGTTTTTTTCTATTGAAATCAAAAGATAACTAAAAAGAAATCCAACATCATTGATTATACCTAAAAATGAATATAATTTATATACTTGATTATTAGTACTATAGGTTACATTGATTGCAATTGTATCTAGCTTATTATGAATTAAACGATTAAATAATAAGATTAAAAATCCAAGAGTTGGTGTAGAAGAATCCAAATTATCTACAATAATCCTTTGGTTAAACTCTTTTAATAAGCATTTAGCTGATATTAAAAGATTAGAATCATGAAAATATATTTTGTGAGATTCTATAAACTACCAGTAATAAGTTTGCAGAATGCTAAAGTTTTCATATCCATTAATACAATTATCTTGAATATTCAATTTTAATTAAATTTAGATTAAATAAAATTTCTATATTGATTAATCCTTTACAATTATATCATTCAAGAAAGGTAAGAATATTCCGTTATTTATTTAATTCAGGATGTTTTGCTTGTTATTTCCTAAGTTCAATCTGACAATTGCAAAAATAAATTAAAAATAATGAGTTTTTTAGGAGGCTTTTATCTCGATAAACCCATAAATAACCATCTCCATCAGAAACAAGAGAAACAATGTGATGACTAATTTCGAATTCAATATTTTCTTTTTGCAATTCTTTATTTTCTAAAATAATATTATGCAAAGACAACAATTCAACATGAAACATTAAATCTAATTCTTGATTCTTACATTTATAAAACTCATTGGTATTATTTAATGAAATTAAAGTGTTATACACAGTTTTGGTAATGTCCAAATAGTTAATTGTCATATCAGATTGTTCTTTATTATTCTTTGAACATGACAATTTAATCTGGTTTTGACATCATAAACACTTTTTTAATTTGTTTCCCTTTTCATTCAAAAAATCCTCACTATTTCAAGTGGTATGATATCCCTTGCAGAAATTGGTTTGTTTGTCTAACATAATTAAAAAAAAACCAATTTATAAAAATTTTTTTTTTTGATTTAAATTCACCTCTAATCAAAAAAAAATTTTCAAATAAATATAAAATCAAATAAGACAAGCAAATATTGTAAAAATTTTGGAACATTTACATTAATTCGCTTTTGCAATAGCAGTAATGATAGTAGAAGAAAATTTTATTTGTTATTATATGGTAACGATAATGAATTTTACAAGGGCACAGACTTTTTTTTGATTTGTAATCAATATTGTCATTAATCAAATCCGAATCACAAAATCACATATAACCGGTAAATCTATCCGGCTACCATTTTTTGCGGGCGACGCTAGGGTCGTTTTTCCGAAACCAAATTTTCAGTTACAATTCGAATCGTCAATTGATGTCCAAATTTTCTAAACTTGACAGATTCAATTTAATTTTACATTATTTATACCGATACAGTTTAAAGCACTTTTTAAAAAAACGAAGACTAATCATAGTAAAGTAAAAAAAAAGAACATATAGAAGGTTTCATTGGAGCTGTAGGACTTCATAGCCAAAAATAAGATCTACTTCTCGTCCGTTTAAAAAAGTTAATATAGTAATAACTTCTCAAACCCCGATAAATCAACTTATTACTATTAGTTTTCGTCTTTTTTAAAAAGTACTCTAAACTGTATAAATAATGTAAAATTAAATTGAATTTAAAAACCCGGCCGGCATCAACATAATTCCGGCCCACACTAACCCTAAAATTCTGCTAGGGGTCATTTTGGACCGGGGTAAAATCGCCATCCAAAAAAGTTTCTCAATAAACGTACAGCCAGAAAGTATTATGATTAATGGTTTTTCTAAGTATTTGGTATATTCCATTGCCTTTTAAAATGAGTATAATCCTCCAATTTATACAATGGCTCAAAATTTTTATTAATACATACTACCAACCATTTGTTACTATTTGGGTTCATTATGTCTTCTTCAAGAATTTTTTGTTGCTGCGTCCTGGATTCAGAATTCTAAAACCTTTTACTCATAAATAATCAGCGTTATAATCTCCGGAAGAGCATTAAAAATAAAATCTACAAGATTTTCTAATGCAATTGCATTCTCTTGACTAGTTTTTATAATTTTTTCGATTTTCATGTTTATTATTAGTGGAAATTTGGTTACGGCAACGTATATTTTTAGAATAGTGTGTTTATCGGATTTTATGTTTTTAACAATCGCTTTTCACTTTGAAGTTAATCTTTAACGTTAATGATGATTTGACAATATCACATGATTTTCGAAACTTTTTTGGGTGGCGATTTTACCCCGGTCGTCATTTTGACGCGTCAAGTTTAACTTGACCTAAAAACCGTAACATATATAATTTGAATTTATAGTAAGTTTAAATTTTAAAAAAATCGGAAATTTAATTAGCAGAATTTATGTTTTGTATACATACAAATTTACAATAACATTAAATCATACTCATCAGAAAAATTTAAAACCTGATTATTTATAATTGATTACAAACAGTTAATAGAAAAAAATTACATTTCCAAAGATTCCTTATAGAATTCTGATTTTTTAGTATCAATTTATATGCTATCGTTATATTTTGTAATTGCCTGATTAAGACACACTAAAAATTTTTACCTTGATTATGTCTGTTCCTTTTCGATATTCGAAGCTATTTTCAAATTCTTTCACCATTTTTTGGTAGCATTTATTTGGTAACATTTTGTACGTATTCTAATACAGTAGTATTAAGCCCTTTAGATTTATAATATTAGGGAAATCCTATCTTAGCCCGGGTTAAGTCACCCAAAATATTAAAAATAATATTAATTTTAGTTACGTTAATGTAATGGCATTATAGTTTATCGGTGACTTTAACCCGGGTAAAATAGAATTTCCAATATAAACCATATTTTTTATAAATATATAATATATATATATATATTAAAAAAATGACTATGTCAAAAAAGTTTGAATTTGAAATATATCAAAAATTCTTTATTATTTATATAGTAATATATAATTACAGAATAATATATGTATCATTTGGGCAACTTATGCATCAAGTCAGCTTAAGAAAATCAATTTTATATTTTGAAGTAATGACACAATGTTGTCATCAAACAACTTTTGAATGAGTTAGAATATTTGAACGTTTTGACAAAAAAAATTAGAAATTAAAAAACGTTCAGAACTAAAAAAATCTACTTATGCATTTTTTTATATGAATTTATCGATTATTCATTATTGAACTTTGGATAATCTTGAATGTTTAAATATGCCATTGAACACATAACGAGCATCTTCGCGTTATGTGCGTTATTTTGGGACGCACATATACGATATTTTGTATAACAAATATGTAGTATTGCATATATATTCAGATTCAGATGTGTCAAATAATATGCAATTTTCAAAAAATTTCAAAATAACGCGCAAATACGGTATACAGAAAAGGGAAATAAGTCCTATAATTAAATTGATTTATAAATCAAAACTTTAAATATGACAAACTACTAAAAATTTATAAGCTTCAAATAAATGCTTTTAATTGTAATAAAAAAACTCTATTTAACAGCTTCTTATAATAAAATAACTACATAATATTGCATATTTGATTTTCCAAATGGTACAATCAATGTTTACAACTTATCTTAAAAATTTTCTAAATTATTTTTTAAATTTAGGAATTTAAAAATTGTATGTTAAAATTACAAAAATTTCATTTAATACATAGGAAATAGCGACTTTAAAAGTATATGCCTGCAATAAAAAAAAAATGCAATCACTTAAATATTATTATTCTATGCAAATAATAAATAGATGCCAAAATTGAAACATAAATCTAAAAAACATTTTTACACGGCAGTCTTATCCGCGTGTGCACCCAAATGTGAAATAATAAATAATCTTCCATCATCTCCAGCAATCCATATTTGCCGATTATTATTACTCAACTTTATACATCTACCAATTAATGGTATTTCAAATTCATGACGTAAGTCTAGACTGTATATATCGAAATAAATTTTTGAATCAATCAGTTATGCGTTTATGTTAATTCAAATTATATTATAATGTATTTAACCGATAAATTTACCTAAGACCATCATAAATACAGATTTTTCCTTTGTTACTTGAGGTAACTATTGAATTATGATCTTGTGATGAAACAAAGTGATTCAATCTTTCATTTATCTCAACAGAATTTAAAAACTTTCCATTTATGCTATATGCATGTAAAAAGTATTCATCCTATTCATGCATGTTCAATACATTATGATTAAAAATATGTGCATTATTATCTAAGTATATAAATCATTATACTTGCATATTGTTCGGTGTATAGTATTATATTCGCATCTCTAGTAATACAAACAAATTCGACACTAGAATCTAACCCTTCTAAAGGACGTAGTGTACGAATATAATTTGCATTCTTTAATGAGTGAACAATGCATGTTCCATCCTTGAAAAAATTAAAAAAAAAATTAATATGATACACATAAATAATATCCAAAATATGAATTTAATGTATAGTTGTTTGGTTACTTTTGATCCGCTTATCAACATATCATGTTCTGCATTAACAACAATACAGGTTATCTAGATTAAGTAATCAGTTAGAACATATGTACAACAATAATTCACGGAGAACTCTATATGTTACCTCATCGTCATGTCCACAGAATGCTTGCAGAGGGGAATGCTCAATGCTTAGAAATTCACTATCATCTGTTAAATTAACTTTCCACGATAACAAGTTCGAACTTCGAGAACCAGTAACAACTATCCTTCCGTCTTCGCTAATAGCTACAGCTGTCACTATATGTGCGTTAGAAGTTAAAGATAATATAAAATACCAAAAACAAATAACATCTGCTCAAGATTAAAAAAGGATATCATCATGTCCGTAGATAGAATCAATAGTTCTACCTGTTTCACTAAGAGTTACTTTGACAGTATTGTCCCAATGACCACAACTAAGAATAACTTTTCCATCTTTACTGCAAGTGAAGCATCTTGGCGTAATAAATGCATCAAAACTAAATGGGCTACTCAATCGACTAGTTTAATAAATAAAGATGGTTAGCGATTTTAAATTTCTTACAATCAAATATTATAAAACACATACGTTTTGTACTGCAAATTAGGATCAACTTCTACTGTAAATGGTATATCCGGAGACATACTTTTATGTATAACTCGATGGTATCCAATAATCCCATTTTCATCAATAGTAACTATTGCTTGTTCATCTTGGAAACTTTCTTTATCTGGTTTTGGCAAATCAACAAAATGTAACTTTCCGCATTTCAATTCAACAACAAATCTCTGTTGGTTGTCATTTGAATTTAATAGATCTTTCTTAAGAAAATCTTTACTAAGGAATCGTGGGGGGTGTGGTTTGGTCATTAATTGTGTTGGCGTCTGTCCGAAATGGTATATTTGTTGTTCGATACTTTTGCGTTCTACTGGGTCTTGGATGCTGTCAATGTTTATGGCGCCTTCATAAGTTAAATAATAGAATACATTATATGCTTTGATTGCTTCTTCTCCAGTTTGTTTGTATCCAAATATTAGATCTAAATTAAGCATTTAATCAGCTAATAATAATGACAATAATAATTATGATAATAGCAATGGTGATATATTGACCTATCCAATTGTGTAAATTCTCAGACACATAATCTGACTCTAAAGCCTCGCGATTAATACGAACAAATTCTTCAGGAGAATTCGCCCATTTTGGCAGACCCACATCATTGAGTTTAGTACCATCTTGTCGTACCTAATACATAATTTATAATTGAAGATAAATGCAATGTGAGGAGACACGATCCAATAAAAAAAATACTCACACCAAGGTTAAATTTATTATAATTCACCAAAAATTCCGGCAAATAAAAAAATTCAGGTATCAACTCTCTAACATCTCCACTTGCATTATTAACAGAATGCCATGTATCTTGAATGGAATGAAATTGACGATCAGCATGATCGAATTTTCCTCCTTGCAAAGAGATATGCACAGATGTGTATGGCTCCATCCTTATTAGATAACATGCTACAGTTGCTGCACTTGAATAATGTGTTCCGTAATGAAACTTTTTTATCCTTCCCGACGGATCATCGAAGCTTTCATATCGTTCAATAATTTGCCGCAATCTCACTGGATTTAATGCTCCAACTGGTTTAGATAAATCACGATAAACTTTAGGATCAGACAAGTCAATTGTTTCAGACTCATAATCGCTAATGATCCATGGAAAAACAAAATACTGTGTTAAATCATTAAAAGATCTTCCCGCCATGCCATTAAGGTGCATAATATATTCAAAGTTTGAGATTTCATGTCTTTGCCAACGTTCAGTCAAGTTCGTTCTTTGAAATATCGTAATTGGTGAACGAGTATCTTGATTCAGCATTGATGGGGGTCTAAGTGAGGTTATTTTTGAAAATAGTCTGGTTCGATCCTTTGGTTCCGGGAAGTTAAAGAAATAATTCGTTTGATCAGTTAGAAATAGTTCAAAAGCACTTCGCCTTAATAAATATTTTCGCATATGTATTTCACGTATATCTGAAATTAGCCATTTTTTATCTCTAAGCATCTCACTATCAACAATAATTGAGCCTTGTTCGATATTATTGAGCTCCTGCAACAGGTTATGTCGATCAACCAAAAAAGAAAGATGTGTAGAAGTGAGCTCAATTCGACCTTTGATAGCAGATAATAGAACGATCAACTCGCATTCAGTCGAAAATAACTTTGTTTCATTAGAAAGGTCCACCGTATCGACAACATTATCCCCTGCTACAATATTCCATTCTTGATCGTCAGATTCTAAACTTTCAGATTCTGAAACCAAAGACGACCCACTAAAACCCCATGCATCAGTCCAAGGTTCTACAGCATCTAATATAGGTGTTGTTCCTCGTCCACATTCTGGGGTGGCAGCCTTTTTGATCCTTTGAATGCTTAAATTTTTCGTTTTGTTAACTGGAATTGCGATGGGTGTTTTATCTCTCTTGGCACTAGCCTCGCGATGTGCATCATAATCGTAATTAATAGTCAATTTACGACGCATTCTTGAATAATTTTCTCTCTTGTCCAATTTCCAATGAACATCGGCTTGATTTCCTAATGACCATACTCCTCGCTCTTGTGTTAATTCATGAAATCTTGACAACCATTTTCGTGAAATTCTTAAGTCTTCATTTTTCTTGTCAACCTCACAACTAGTTAATCGTGCTAATTCCTCCTCTCTATAAGATTTAACAATCGCATTCAATTCTGCGCCAAAAGTATCTTCAAGTTTTGTTGAATTTATTTCCCCCTTTTTAGAACGACTAATAAAAAGATTAACATTCTTTGAAAACCTTTCCGTCATTCTTCGTACCATGGAAAAATTATTTTCATCTGCATTTTTCATGGCGGGCATAATATGACGCTCATGTATAATAATCCAATTACGTGAAGTGACAAATTGTACAAATGCGTGATCATTAAATTTCGTGCCTGACCAAATAGAGTCAATGAATTCTATGGAAGAAAAGTCACCATTTCCAAGATTAACTAAATAGTTGCGGCATTTATGTAATATAAAATAATATGCAAACATTATTCTTTGGTCGTATGCACTATTCATCATTTGTGATGCACTGCGTGGTTGTGATTTAAAAAAAAAGAAAATGCATTAGACTTTATCCAAACACCAAACCATTATAAAAATTTAAATATTAACCCACGTGAATGTGTCATGAACTTCTCCAAGCATCATAAGAATATGTTTTTGAAAGGTATCACAATCATGGCAATAAAAATCCTCTAAATGTTTCTTTTCTACTGTCGAACTTTTGTCTGGAATTTTAACATGCCTTTCTGCAAATCCCATGAGCTCGTCTAGCGCCTTTTCTCGCAATTCTTGTTCTTGTAATGAAATACCTGCAACTAGAGTTCGTAGTACCATGCGACAAACATCACCATTTTGCTATAAGATAATATGAAAAGAAGACAGATGCATATTAGTTACAAATAAGCAATTTCTTAGAAAAAAATATATATTTGTAGTACTAACTATTCCGGTACGATTTGTTGACATATCCATTCTCCAATTTCCTGTCCTATCAATGGTATCAATAATTTCTAGGTACATCGCAGTTAGAACAGGATCTTCTTCCCATGGATTACTAGAACTTTGAAATACCATATCATCATATTTTTGTGAAGAAAACGATGGAAAATTTGATTCTAATTTTTGAATAACTGTATCTTCGAATTTCAATATGTTTAATGTCGGTGGATTAGATTCTAAAATAAAGATTAGACTTAAGTAAATCGGAGAATAGTTTATGGTTAAATAATAGAACATTAAAAACTACCATATGCAGCTATAATTGAAGAAGAACAATTTCCAGTAAGTGTGCCAGTTCTTTGTTCATTATTAACTTGTTTTTGAATTACAGATTGTGTCAAATCTTTGTGATTAAAAAGGATCTCTTCAGCAAATGTTATCAGCCGCATTACATTTTCCTGTGTATTAGATTGTCAATTGAAGAGAAACATGAATGTGGTAGTATGAAAATTTTAAAGAATACACAAAGGCTTACCATTTTTATAATTGCAAATGACGCAGAAAATGAATTATTAATTTCTCGTGTAACGAATGAAAACAGTATAGTTAGAAAAGCTCGAATAGTTTCCATCGAATCAGGTCGATTACTTGTCCAGATAGCTATTATCGTATCCTCAACAATCCGACAAGCATTTTTATCAACTTCAAACAAATTCCATATAACGATGGAGATAAATTCTAGTGCCCAATCTGCAATATCCTTATCACCTTTATCGGAAATAATACCATCTTGTCTGCTATATATTGGAACAAGTCTAATAAGATATTTTTGCCAAAGCCATATTTTATGTAGTTCGACACAAAAGGTAATATTTTGCTTAAACATTAAAATTAAATCCTCAAGGATTCTGCATTGCACAGTCTTCTTTGTATTTTCTGAATCTAGTAATGCAAGAATAGCTACAATAATTCCAAAATTTTTTATTGGCGGTAAAACCAAGGGAGGCATTTCTGAATCATCTCTGTTTGATAATCCTGCAGTACTGAATTGTTCAAGCGACCAATGTAATAGCGCATGATAAACATTAAGTGTTAATGGACCAGCTTCCATTAACCTTATTAAATTTATTATCTCCGTATCCTCAAATCGGAGCTTTTTGACAATCCTCGCTGGTGTCAACGGACAGATGACTAAAAATGTTATTATTTTGATACAATAAAATCGGACATTTTCATCTCGTCGTTTTAAGAGTTCGCAGAGAATTTCGAACCCCCCGTAAGACGAAAAAATGTCTACTATCTCTTTGTCAGATGATTTACTTATAAGCAAGTTAAGAAACAAATTTAAAAGTTCACATATATGTTCATCGTCTTCACTGATCAAAAGACTTCTAAATATACAGAGAGTCTCGTCTTTTGAAATTTTATCTTTGAAATAATCGTTTATTATATTAAATAGTATAGCACGAAGTTCCTTTAATTGAGGAGACTTTAGTCTCGTGGCTCCAGCAGTTGAATGTCTATGTGGAGCAGACAATTCACCTTGTTTGTACCAATACACATTTTGTAGTATATCCAAGAAGAATTGGATTCCAAAATGTTTGCGGCACATTAGTTTTCGGGCATCAATAAAAGTTTTAAGAAAGTCGATACAATATTTTTGAATATCAATAGTCGCATACATCCAAAGACGAAATTCAAAGACAAGAGTTGAATAAACTTCTTGAGCCAAATCCTCGTTGGCACTCAAGGCGCTCGCCAATGCAATCATGCTTTGAAAAGCAGATATGGTAAAATGGCGTGGTCCAACCTGTTGTAATAAAAGACTAACAACTTTTATACCTCGAGATTTAACAATGTGATTTTGGCTTTTTGGATTATTTTGTAATAATGAAGATAAAAGGGCAAAAAATGCTTTACATGGCCCTTCCGATGCAAAAAAATCGTCCTGAGATCCGAATGGCGCTTGAAGACTCACAGAATCCAAATTATCAAATTTCATTATAATTGGGAAAAGGATTTCTACATCTCCTAAACAGTGTATCGCATTTCTTAAACTGAGAGTTGTGCATTTTTCTATATCAAATAAAGTGGCAGTTACAGTCTCTTGGGTTATTAGATTACGAGATGCTAAATTGATACACTTTTGACCAATAGATGCTTTGACATGGAAATTAAAAAGTATCTTAGAGCACAGCGTAGTACCATCAAATAAGTTGGATTTAATCTTAAAGTCTCTCCTCTGCAAAGATTCAAATTGAGATGAATGATTTGGGCCAAGTTCGTATAAGGAACTTATCTGTTCGTCTGTGAGGACGTCATTTAGCATGTACACAGCTGTCATTTGTCCCCGAAAGCAATTATGCAAACCACTATTAAGAACTGAAGATGATGCATTTGAGGAAATATCATCTAAATTTAACAATGGTTGTATGGCCGGAGAGGCACCAATAACACAATAATTAAAAGGCTGAGAATTATAGTCCGCCGGATATTCCAAACGATCTTTGAATTTAATGTTCCCATCAACAACAACTTTCAATTCTGAAGGAGTAGTAGTCCATCCTTTCTTCGTTGGATAATGTACAATGACAATAAAATACCATCTCTTTTGTGTAAATTTGAAATTTGTCATGGTAACAGTTGAGACAATATCGCCTTTCTTACATCGAAAACAGAGGGAATTGTTCTCAAAATAAGCTTCAATTCCATCACCAGCTTCCGTAAAAAACGAAAACAACCGTGGTACATATCCACCATGTTCCATACATCCCTTCGAAGATGTTGCGTCCATCTTGATCCAAGTAAAGAATGAGTAACCATTAACAGGAAACTTTTCAATAGTGGACAATTCTATTCCAGATCCGGTTCCCTTCAAGTAAAAAAAGTTCATTGTATTTTGTTTTTGAGAAATGGAATATAACAATTTCAAAAGAGCACCCTGATACCAAGCCGGATCTTGGTGACTTGTTGCTTCTTCGTTCTTGTTGCAAATCATATTCAAGATTAATTTGACATCAGATACTTTGACAGAATATGAACACACAATTTCCAAAAGCCTCATAGTCCTATCGGCCAAGTCATCAATACGCCAAGCATTTCTAATAACATTCGTCAAAAGCCTGTTCGTTATATTGGATTTAAACATGATCCACTTGTTCATATCACAATACTCTGCGAAGCATATTAGCCTATCCATAACTTGAATCTTGATAGAATCTTCCATTAGTGGCAAATGTTGCAACATTAATTCCAGCACATGGCCGTCCCGCATGAAAAGTACACTGCCATTAGGTTGCCATTCTTCGCTACTAGTTAACAAATTTGTCAGCACTTCGAGGGTCTGTGACTGTGAATGACTACCTTCATTTGTATGTTCTACCTGCGACACCTCAGTTGAGACCACAGTATCTAGTGAAGGCAGGTATAGTTATTAGACGAAACTATGTTTATGAAATGAAGAAAGACGAAACCTAACCTCCAGAAAGACGAAACTGTCGGGACTCCTGCGAATGACGACTTTGCTGAGGATGAAACTCCATGGTGGAAACAAAAGGTTGTATGTAGTTAGTAGGCGAAACCAATAATCTAAAGTGAAATAATCGAAATAATCTTAAATTCTATGTGTATCGGCGTTGACTAATACAGCACCAAGATAGATTTCCGAACACATGACTATTTACCATCAGAATTAAATGCAACATGACACGATCGGGTGTAACCAGGGACAGTGAAAAATATCAGATTTTACCAAGATTGGCCAATCAGAATGCACAATTCGGTGTAACACAATATAACGTGATCAGTTTTGTTGATTGTCTACGTTACCCAATAGTTTAGGTTAGCCAAATTTGTGTTGTCCGGCCCAAATTATACACTTAATTTTGCCCGAAGTGGTATTGTTACACCGCATTAAAAATTGCAAAATATCGACTTCCTGGTCTACGTATAATCACTTCCCCCGGGTGTAACATGCAAATAACTCCCATTAAAAAATTCGAAATTTCATGCCCAAAAGTTTACTATCTGATTGGTCAACTACGAACCTAGTCTAAATGCTAAGTTAAACGAAACTTAACTACTATGATGGTGTTTGGTTATCATCACATGACCATCTTTGTATGCTGGATTTTTCGACTTCGGTCCTTCACTGTCATGAAAATGCAATGTAAAAGATTCGGGAGGGGTTCATGCGCAGGTTCCGCAGAAATTTTCTTTACGCAAGATATTGATTGCCATTACATATCTTGTGCATTTCATTTCATGCGCAGGCTGTGCAACCTGCGCACGAATCCATAATTTGCCAATCTTACGCAAGATAAATCGAAGAGTGTCTTGATCGGTTCTTGAACTATAAACCAAGCCATTATGTACATCGAACAGTACTACGTATTCACTTTGCAGATTTTTCTAGTAAATAAAAATACAGCCGACGTATGTTTTCGATTACAGGTCAGAGCTAAACTATATATAGTAAACGGTGGCACATTTACTGTACCACCGCCTATCGCGATGATCTGAAATACACTTCATGATAATCAAAATCAATGTGAATCAGGACGTTCTTATCGAATTGACAATATTTACCGTTATTATGATTATCGTAAAATGAAAACTAGGATGTCTAAACCTTTATTAGATTAAAATATAAACCCAATTACCTCGTCTTTAAGAAAATTTTTGTGCTACGCATATACTATAAAAATAAATATTATTCTATATTTGGACTTTACGGTTTGGCAATCTATAATTATATGTTGTTTTAGGTTTGTGTACGTAGTGGTAGTGATCCGAATCGTTTGTTCAGTAGTTGAAAAATCAACGATATAGTTGCAACGACCAGCTTGGAATACCAGATCTGTGCCAGACGGAGTTGACAATAGTCCAACGGAGAATCCCAAATAACCATTGTGCCTCTCTGAAGTTTATAAGCTTTTATTCTCAATTGATATCAAAGTTGTCACAATATAACGTGGGTATTTTAGTTACTGCATTGAGTTCAGGATCATTTTTTCTAAAATAAGGTTTACATAGTTTAGATTATTCTGAGTGTTTGGTCTCAAAATTTTAGTTATCGAATTGCATATCGATATTAATTGATCAACGCTAAACCTAAAAAAAAATTTTGAATCTCTACTAAAACATGCAAATTTACAATTTTAATGCTACTTACAATTAACTATAAAGTACCATAGCTACTGACTAAAAGACCCAGGGTCTAATATAAAATACTTGAAAAAAAACTTATAAAATATCCAGAGTATTTTGACTGTTACTGGGTCAAAATTTTGGAATTTTATTATGTTAATAAAAATCCAACATTTACTTTCTTGTTTTTTCTCTTTTCTTTTTTATTTCTTGTTTGTATATTTTACCGTTTTTCTTATATCTTTGTGTTTTTTTATAAGGTTTTTTTTGGTTTTTTTTTACTTTTTTACAAAAAGATGACATCAGATTAGCAATATCTTTATTTTAGATAGTAGTTGAATGAGCTTTTCAGAGACAGTTTTATGATAAAGTTTGATATTTGTATTACCCCAATTGTAGAATTGGCAATGAAGTCAATAGAGTTCAGTAGTTATATAAATAAAGCTTAAAGAATTAATACTTACTGATTTTATTCAAAGTTTTATTAGTTTTGTTTATAACTTTATTGAGTTTTATTGCTAATTCTGTCTAACTGGTATAACAGGTTACTTATAAAAATAATTATAGAATATTTGTACAGTAGATTAAAACTAAATAGTGTTTATTGTATAAAATATTTATTTTAATAAAACATAATAGCAAGAATTATCAAAATAATAAAAATAAATATAATAAATAAATAAATAATTTTTTTAAATATTAAAGTTAAGTTATGCTTTTATTTTTATTTTTTTATTTTTTAAAAAAATTAAAGTTTGTTTTTAAAAAATAATTTTATTCAAGTTATATAAACCTGAAAACCTTTAAGAGTTTTCTTATATAAAAAGTTACAACTAGTTATATATTGTTTTTAATATCTAATTTAAGTAACTATTTATATATTATTATACAAATTCTATAGATAACATGTCTAAGAGTTTATGTATTAGAATTATATACTTATTAGTCAAATAAGTTAACACACTTAAATTTTATATATAAATTTAAAAAAAGTTCTTTATTTTTAATTTACTTTAAAAAATAAATATAAAATTATCTTTAAAATTTTAAATAATAATTTTTTAAAATTTATTACTTCTTTTTACAAAGTTTAAGTAATAGTTTTTTGTAATTCTATATTATTTATTTTTCTAAAAATTGTTATTATTTAGTTATACAAAAGTAGATTATATATAAAAATTTTGTTAATATCTTTTACAACTAAGCTTTTGCTATTAACTCTATATTATTTGAGCTTGTTAGCTTTATTATATCTAAAACTTTAACAATTTCTTTGCTATCTGTATATTTTATTATTTTTGTTTTATAATTACTAATATATTTAAGTAAACTTTGTGTTTTATATATTTTAGATCTTTTTCTAAACTATTTTGCATATCTAATTTTATCTGTTTTTTTTGTTTGTTGTATATATTATTTATTATTAAATTTGTATATATTATATTTGTTTATTTGTTATTTACTCAGAAAATTAATTATATTGTTATAGAACAGATTATTATTATTTTATTATTATTGGTTATTATTATTATTTATTATTATTTTATTATTATTATTATTTAGTATTAGTTATTTCATTATTGTATTATTATTATTATTACTAGTAGTT